TGGAGGTGAGGATGGGGTCTCGTTTTAATCATAAGATCTGTATACACAGGATGACCAAAATGTGCGGTGAATGGCTAAATTAAAATTTATTACAGTGAAAGCCACATTGCCATGAATCCTCTCAAATCCTCCCCCTCACTTCAAGCACATTCATCCCATTGTCCTTGCCACTTTCTGCAGCAGCTCTGGAGTCCTCTTTCCTGAGGGTCTTTACCAGATGTGATCACAAATATGGCGAATGCTGCTGCCAAGTGCCATCCCACAGAAAGGCAGCTCATAAAAATACGACCCTGCGTCCTCATCCACCTTAGTCGTTGGATCTGACACTGTGTGACTTCTGGCTCTTTCCCAAAGTCAAAATGACCAGGAAAGGGAGAAGTTTTGGATCTATTCAGGATATTGAGTCAGCTATGATAGTGCAGCTAAAGAACCTCAGGACTCTGGAGCTGCTGCAGAAAGTGGCAAGGATGATGGGATGAGTGTGTTCGAAGCAAGGCAGAGGATTTTGAGGGAGACTCATGGTGAAGTGTTTTCTAATGTAATGTAATTATTTTAAGTATTCACTGTATTATTTTTTATCACACCTCAAGGCGGCCAGGATTCTGGGTCCACATGCTAGGCCTTGTCAGGAGCTAGCATCTTGCATTACTTCATTTACTCCTCACAGAGACCAACAGGCCAGATGTCACTTTCCTTGTCACATATGCATCCTAGTGTCTAGGCTGGGAACTCACACAGAGCCAGTGCCCGCCACACATATCTTCTGAACGCCGAAATGGTGAGTGGGGTGTTTGAATTACTAGGTTTATGGATGTTCCTGTTCCCTTCTATGGCAAGCGACCCTCTTGCCCGGGAAATCCATCATCCCCAGACTGTCTAGGGGACTCTGAAGTTGCACCACCATTCATCCATTCCTGCTCCCATTTTGCCTGGGCTGAGCACAGTCCTCAGAGTTGTGGTGATGCCCTATTTCCCAGAAGAGGGACCAAGGCCTGAGGCCCTGGGAAGCTGCCCTGGGAGTCTCAGCTGAGGAAATGGAGTTGGAAACCAAGCTGCCTGCCTGACTTCCTCTGCTCCGCCGGGGTGCACATCCTGGAAGGCCTGTGATCCAGACCCTGGCCTGACCCTGGGCTGTAGAGATGTAAACAAGTCCAGGATGTCCTAGGGAGGGGCAAGCCTGCAGCCATTCCTGGGAGATAGAGTATTTTTGCAGGCCTCTTCTCCATCTCCCCTGTGCTGCCTGGGATGTGGACTCTTCTGAGAAAAGGGCTGGCTTCTCCGGTGCCCATGGCTGTCTATTGAGGGACCCTGAGCAGGCAGGTGGGGCTGGCCTGCAAAAGGCGAGGGCCACCCCGACCAGGCTCCTCTGCCTTCGACTGAGGCTTTCTGGGCGTTAAGCTCATCTTGGTGCACAATTAGGGCCCTGCCTGTGCCTTCGAAGCCTGAGTATAGGTGGCTAGCATATATAAGGTGCACACATAGTATTGCTACTTGCAATATTTTTATTTGGAGCACTGGGAACTGAACCCAGAGTCTTTGTGCTGAACTGCATCCCTAACCCTTTGTACTAACTGTTTGGAGACAAGATCTTTTTAAGTTGCTCATTTGCCCATGTTGGGCTCAAACTCATGTTTCTACTGCCTTGACTTTCTACAGTCCAGGGCTTATAGGCACACGCCGCCACACTGGCTGGTAGACAGTACATTTTAAGGCTTGAACTTGGGCTCAGGTTTGACATCACGCCTGTTTTGCTCTAGGACTGGCCAGATCTCTGCTACCTCAGGCTGGGTCATGCCGAAGGAGATGGACAAGCCCAGGCTGCTCCCCAAGGCAACCCGGGCCTCTGCAGAGCAGGAGGATGCAGCCTCTGCTGCGTCACTTGGACAGCTTGGGGATGGCCTGGCAGCTACATTTTCAAATTTGTTAAGTCTCTGTGTAGCTTCTGAATTCTGAACTTAGGTAGGGGACGCAGAGAGGTAAACCCCAGTTGGGGATCTAACTGGACAGGGCAGTGCCTGGGCACTAGCTAAGCCCCTCATCTATGATGTACTGAAGGCTTACGGGAGAAGGGTCAGGGTGGTTTGGATGTAGGGTCACTCCTGCTGGACATGGACGGAGGGTATAATGAGTCCGAACCCATGCCTGTGACCTGGAAGGGGTAGACAGGGATAAGGGTGCTGACTTGGTGTTGCATTAAGAGCTTGAGGCCAGAGGTCCGGCTCCTGACAGGTGCAGCCAAAAGCAAGCAGCTCCAGTCCCGACTGAGGTCTACCTTGTCCACCGCACACCTTCCTCATGATCTTCATATGTCTTTGTCCAGGTAGCCCTGGCAGAGGCTGTTGATCCTGCCCAGGTCAGCCAACTGGGGTCCAAGGCTGAGCATGTGACTCTGCTGACACCTGCCCAGTGGACCCCACTTCCAGAAAGAAGGAGGAAAGGATTACCCCAAAGGATTACCACTGAGATTTCCTCCAGAGTGGGAGTTGCATAGCCCAGCTGTGTGTGTGGGCTGGGCAGCATTTCCCAGGGTGAGAGTCGGGTGAGGCAGCCAGGCCAAGCCTTGGTCCTGATGCTCATTGCGCAGAGATATGCTGAGGGGAAAGGAGTCCGAGCAGCAGTGGTGCTGGAGGGGCCACGACCACGCAGGGTCTTTGAGGCAGGAGGTGAGGGGGTAACCATGGGCAGCTGCAGGGTCATCTGGAAGACAATGGCAGGGCCTCCACCTGGAGGAGTTGAGACAGCCCCAGAGAGTGGGGCAGAGGCCCTGGGCCCCAATCAGAACCTTCTGTCCCAAGACTGCACTGGCCCTGCCCATGTCAATCACTTCCGTTTTTCCCATTGTTCATTACTCTACCTGCTCGACTGCCAGGGAAGGGAGGTTGGAGGTGGGAACTGCATCTCTCTCTTGGACCTGGGCCAGAGCTTTAGGGTGAAATGGGGTGCAGGAAGTTGTTGACAGAGCCGCTTTGTCTTGTGGCCCTGTGCCCCTCCTCTGCATCCCTGGGTCTCAGTGGATCGCCTCTGTCCATTGGGAGCAGCTGGTCAGTCTGCTCAATTGGGACCACCTACCATTGCAGACACCAAGGAGCAAGAGGAGGGAAGATTTGTTTTTAATCAGCTCAGTTCCAGATTAGCACAGCTAGATCCTTCTATTTCTGTAGAGCATTAGCTACAGGGACAGGGAAAATGAACGTAGACAGCAATAGAATAGGAAAGGAAGACGTATTGCTGTGCATTTCAGAATCTCAAGATGTCGAACAACTGTCTTGTTCAGATGGTTGCATGACAGTGTAAATAATATTGTAAATTTTGTGTCATGTATATTCTACTACATTAAGAAATTTTAAGTAGAAAGGATCAAGATGTCACATGCATGCACTTTCTCCTTTGCACCTTTGAGCAGCAGTGCACTTCCAAAATGATGGGACAGGTGACATTGCAGTGCTCTCCAGTCCTGAGCCCAGCCCTGTCCCTAGTCACCTTCCCTCCAGGTCTTTCTGGGTGTGATGGGATTAACCAGAGAAGCCCAGAGGAGGGAAGTTTGGGCTCTCGCAGGCTCTGGAAGGTTAGTCGTGTTTGGTTCTCCCCTCAAGCAACAGTAGGGAGGAAAACAGAGATTGCAGGAGGTATCTAGGCTGCAGAGATGGCCAGGCAGAGGACAGCGGCTCGCAGTTACTTCCAAGTTCAAGTGTCACCTTGAATAAGTTACTCTGCATCCTGCCCTCAACTTCTCCCATGGTAAATTTTAACTGTAAGATGCCAACAAATTTCCTATTTATTTTTGCAGTACTAGGGGTTGAACCTAGGGCCATCCACTAAGCGACATCCCTAGCTGTTTGTTAATTTATTTTTTTAATGTAAGTTGCCCAGGCTGGGCTCAAACTTGTGATCCTCCTGCCTTAGCTTCCAGTGGTGCTGGGATTCTAGGCATCCACCACCGTACCTACTAAGTCTTTATGTCATACCCAGTAGTGATATCAAATGTAATGATAAGTCCTAGGTGCCAAGGCCTTGGAGGTTAATGTGAGTTGTGTCTCCTGTTTATTCCGCCACGTCCCAGGAAGCCCACCTTCTGCTCAGCAACCCCGAGAGTCCTTAAAGGACGGAGGGTGAGTGGGGACAGAAAGAATGGTTTGAGAAGAATCTGTGGGTCATGCCATGTGGTTATATGCACACTTGCAAGTGAGAAGCCAGAGTTCTACAGAGAGGAGCACAGGCAGGAGAGGTGGGGAACCCAGCTCAGGGTAAGGGTCCATGGCAAGGTGCAGACCTTGGACGTTGTGGGTAAGGCTGGGCACAGAGGCAGCCAGACACCTGGGAAAGAAATGGACTTGATGCCGGGGTGCTGGCCTAGGGAAGGATGGAGGGCAGGAACCCAATTCTGCTCTAACTCTGCTTCAGCCTGAGTCCCAGTAGAGGCGACCAGTAGTCCCAGCAGAAAGAGTGAGAGAAGTGGGGTGACGTCTCCCAACCCCGAGCCCTGATGTTCTCATCTGCAGGATGGAGAGGTCACATGCCTCAAAAGTACTTTGGCAAGGCCGATATGCAATCTTAGGAAAGGTCTTCGCAAATTATGCTGTCTCACCAGCTGGAAGGCAGAGCTTCTTATAGGCAGAGCTTCTGTGGACTTTCCAACTGGTTAGATCCAAGTTGGAATCCTGTGAATTATCATTATGGAAGGTGACTCTGAGGAAAATTACCTAACCTCTTAGATCTTTCCCACCAAGAGAGGGCAACTGGGATATAATCTGTTTTGCCAAGATGATAAACAGATAAGTTCTCCATTATGTTGTAAGTTTTGTGGAAAGACTTTATCAGTCTTGTTCACTAGTATATCTCCAGGTCTGTAACACCTGAGGTGCTCAGTAAGTACCATTTGGATCCCACGAGTGAATGAGTAGATGGATAAATGAATCTTCAATGTGTTGGAGCAGGAGCCACGTTTACAACGAGGAGGCCTCAAGTCCCCCTTGGTAGCTCATGTCTTCTCTTCCTTGCAGGACCCGGGTCAAGCTAGAAAGCTTGGAAGACGCCTACATCCTCCGGGGAGACGATGATTCCCTGTCTGACAAGCATGGCTGCCCCGCCTACGTCAGTCCGGAGATCCTAAACACCAGCGGCAGCTACTCCGGCAAGGCCGCGGACGTGTGGAGCCTGGGCGTGATGCTGTATACCATGTTGGTGGGTCGCTACCCTTTCCATGACATTGAGCCCAGTTCCCTCTTCAGCAAGATCCGGCGAGGCCAGTTCAACATTCCAGAGACCCTGTCGCCCAAGGCCAAGTGCCTCATCCGGAGCATTCTGCGGCGGGAGCCCTCTGAGAGGCTGACCTCGCAGGAAATTCTGGACCATCCTTGGTTTGCTACAGATTTTAGCGTCTCGAATTCAGGGTATGGTGCTAAGGAAGTGTCGGACCAGCTGGTGCCGGATGTCAACATGGAGGAGAACTTGGACCCTTTCTTTAACTGAGCTCGGTCCCAGGCAGAGACTTAGCAGGTACCAGGAGCAAGAGAGGGCCCCAGAGAGGACTTCTTCCAGAGGGAGACATGTGGCCTGGCTGGCCAGTCAGAAAGACACACGCGTTTGCGAGTTTTGTGGTCCAAAGCAGGCAGATCTTCAAGGAGCTGATTAAACATGTAGTGTAGGAGGGCAAGAGACATGGGCTCAAGGTTGGGGTCAGATGATGGGGTCCCCTGGAGCTTCTCTTCCTTTATGAGACCCCTCTTTGCCAGTTGGACCTCTTCTGCCTACCCCACCTTCCATTCTGTTCCAAACTAGTTGCAGATCTTGATAGAATCAAAACTCTGCCTCAAACACACCTCTTGGCATTGCACTGTTAGCATTTAACTTCTTGTTATGATTCAGGGAAGGAACAATTGGCTGAGGACTTTTTTTTTTAAAAAAAAACAAGCCAACCACCTATGTGACAATTAGTGGGATTTGCTTAAAAAACAATTCGGTGCACACAGACGAACCTGGAACCCGGGTGCTAAACTAAAAGGAAGAACAACCACAACAAAAATCCAGTCGGTGTCTCGTAATGGCTCTCTTCAGCTCATCTTCTGAATAAACCATTTAATATCCTGGTTAGGAAACGACGCATAGACGCATTGCTTTCTGAAGGGGGAAAATCTGTTCTCTAACAGGCTCTTCTGTTTTGTGTCAGCTGGCTGGTGGCAGGAAGCTATTAGAAGTCAAACTTCCAAAGCATTACTTTTATCACGGTCTGAAGGTGAAAAAGGGGAGAGGACAGGAAAAGAGCAATTCCACGCCCTTTTGACTTGTTTTCCCTGAAAGTAGTGAGGGTTTGCATGGTGGGCGTTCTTTGCTGAGATGATATGGCCAGCCCAAGAGGCCAGGAAGCTCCTGGAGTCTGACGTCTTTGCAGACATTCTGATTGCAGCTCCATATTTTGTCTTTGTTTGATGGGAAACTAGTGAAACAAAGCAGGTTGTCCCACATGTATAAAATACAGGGCAGCTATTTAGTTTTCTTTACCAAGAATGATCCTTTTGGCTTGGAAGGCCCTCTGGTTTGGACAGAAAAAGTGGAAAGTATAATAAGCTGAAAGCTAGGATGATATAAATAAAAACAGCTCTCTATCCCAATACGCACCTTTGTATTTTGAGAACTCTTCTATTTATTAAGGAAAATGTCACATTGTGATGTATTAAGCCAGTACTTCAATTACGGGTCGACTTGGGATGACATGTTACATGCTGTAGTTAACATTTATAATATTTTTTTCTCGTTTGAGTATTTCTGTCCCTGAAATAACCTTTGATTTGGCTTTTCTAGATAGCTTTATTTGATTTCGAGTGGCAAAGATGTTTTTTATTCTGCTTTTTTCTATTGCTGTATGATACAGAGCTCTTTTGGCATAAATATTTGTGTTTCTAGTACCTCAGTTGTTTGGATTTTACTGCCTGTATATGTTTTGTGAAATGGTCCTGTTTTTTGGGTAGGTAACACGTGGACTCTAGTATGTAAATGTTACTTGAATCTGTGCTTTATTCTAGTACGTGGCATGTGTGTGTGCGGACTCTTTGATGCCCTGTGCCTGTGCAGCCAGAGTCCCTGTCCCCAGGCGAGCAGCTTCCCTGTTCACAATCAGGAGACAAGGCGGCCATGGAGACGCCCTTGATTTTATTTTGATAACGAAGAGATAGAGGAGAGAGGTTTTTTACATTCTGAAGATGGTGCTGCATCAAGAAGGACCTTAATTCTTCCCTCTCCCCTATTTTTTAAGTACCTGGTAGAAGGAAAGAGTGATGACGTGCATGGTGGGGATCTATGGCCTCTGGTGCTCTGTCCTGTATTTGGTTTAATGTTTTTGTCCTAATCTCTTCAAATCAATAAAATTGTGCGTATTTAACTAAAATTCTGGAGTCTAGGGAGTGATGATTTTCTGTCAGCTTGCTGGGGAAGCCTCCAAACACTGATCCGGAGCTCGTATATTCCTCTAGGATTCACCTTTTCATGGAAAACTACTGTGTCTATTTTAGAAAGCTACCCGTAGTGGTTAATCCTGATCAACTTCACCAGATTAAGAGGTGATTCGATTGTGAGGGTGCTCACCTCATGCATGGATTAGTCCATGAAGGCGCTTCTAGCTGGATGGGCTGCTGGGAGGTAGAGCCCAGGGAAGGAGATACACCACTGGAGGCCTGACTTTGAGGGGTATGTCTTATCTCTGGCCACTGTTTTCTGGCCCTTTCCTTCCCTTTCTGTTTCCTGGCTGCGGTGAGGTAAGCAGGTTTGCTCTACCATTCTCTTCTGCCAGATATTTCTGCCTTGGTGCCAGCCAACCATGCACTGGATCCCATGAAACCATGAACCAAAAGAAACCTGTAAATTGATCGCATGACATATTTTATCCCAGCAATAGAAAGGCTATTACTTTTACCATATTTGAGCCTACCTTGTTGGCCCGTGTAGTTATCATAGCTCACTGGGTTCCTACACACAACAGCCTTAGGACGGCTGAATCGCATTCCTACCGTAGATTAAGAAATCAGCCTAGGAAGATGTGTACTTCATCCAGGGAAAAGCATCCCACAGGTGGTAGAGCCAGTCCTGCACCACGAGTTTTTAATCGATGCTTGTTTACTCTTTCTATGATTAGAACCCAGAGACTCTCATAATAGTTCTGGAGTAACCAGGTGCAAATAATGTAGGATTGCTTAGGAAAAACAGTGCTTGCTGAAAGATGATAGGAAATATTCAAGGAGACTGAACTCCACCAACCTGTTGCTTGGCTGTCCTCAGCATCGCATGCAGGTTTTCAGGGTTCTACAGGAATGTAGTGTGCCTGGCTGTTCATATGATAGGCCAGAGCAGCTGAGTTCCATCCTCAGGCAGTCCACAACCATTCCTGTCATTTCAGTGCAAGGGCCTGGGGAGCCAGCTAGGTGTAGGAAGTGGGAGGGAGCCTCAGGGCGAGCAGGATTCAGGGTTGCTGACCCCCACGATGGGCACCCCACCTGGTCTGTCAGCTGATGTCCTGGAAGGGGCGGTACTGAAGGAACAGGTTTTATTGACAAGGGAAGAGAATGAGCAGTATCACCATGTGCAGAGGGAACCTTGAGTGTTGGGCAACTTGCTCAGTTGACCCCTGTTAATGCCAAGCCAGATGGAGCACATCCACACTGCTCAAAGGCGAGTTTGTAGCATGCAGGAAGACACATCTGAAGCAGAGGCTTAATTGGACCAGGCTTCTGCATGCAGAATGCTTCTCATTGAGAGACCTCACCTCCGTATGCCCAGCACTAGTCCCAATAGCCGACATGTGACCCAGTGCCTCGCACACTGCAAGTATTCAGCAAGTAACTGTTCATTGATATACAGCGTAGGTCGTAGGGACTCCACGCTGCTAAGTTCTCCTTCAGCCTCTGGTTTCTAAGATGTGCATCATTAGAAAGCAGCTCTTGCAAGTACTGAGGTACCAGTAGTGTTTGCCAGGGTACAGCAAGGCTGATCCAATTCAGCTACTCTTTCCCTGTGTGTGTTTAAGCAGGAAGAAGCCTGTTGCCTAGCAAATGCGTGTTTGTGTTGTGTTCTATCAAATCTGTGCATGTGCAGTTGATGGGGGCAAGTGTTCCTGACATGCATAGTCCTGTCTATGCAAGGTCCAGCAAGTCCTTCCCTTCGCTCTCCAATGTCTGAAGACTTAGTTTGTGGAAGTCTGCATTCCCTCATGCATTTGGGGATAGCTCCTTCATTCCCTTTCCTGCCAACCTTGACTTAGGACAGGATAAAGAGATCTGGGCTGTGGGGACAGATGGCAAAGGTGGAAGCAGCCCAGCTCCCTGTCTCAACCTTCTGTGACCACTGGGCAAATCTCTTCATTTGCCTTCCTCCAAAATTCACATGTTGGAACCTCAGAGCCAATGGGATAGCTATTAAGAAGTGGTGTTTTGGGGGAAATGATTGAGTCACAAGAGTTCCACCCTTATGAAAGAGATTATCAAAGGCGTCAAAGGGAGCTTGGTCCCTTTTGCCTCATGAGCGCAACAGCGAGAGGCACCACCTTGGAAGCAGACAACGAGCCCCTACTCCCACCCCCAATGCTGAATCTTTGACACCTTGATTTAGGCTTCTCAGCCTCTGGGTTAGAGAACCATGAGGTTCTCAGTAGTAGGTTCTCAGAACCTCTGGGTTCTCAACCATGAGAAAAATTTTGATTACTTATAAGTTGCAGTCTACTTTATCATAGCAGTTCAATAGACTGAGAAACATTGATCAACACTAATCTCTTTCATGAGGATAGAACTCTTGTGATGCAATCATTTCTCCAAAAACTCCACTTGGTAATAGCTATCCCCTTGGCTCTGAGGTTCCAACATGTGAATTTTGGAGGAAGGCAAATGAAGTGATTTGCCCAGTGGTCACAGCAGGTTGAGAACAGAGATGGGGAGCTGAGCTGCTTCCATCTTCTATTCTTCGTAAAGCAGCTAGTGTTCAGAGGAGAAAAGGAACCTGTAGGACCGCATCCAGGTAGCAGGTGATGGGTGTGAGCCGAGATGCTCAGATGCACAGGGGCTTTGTGAGCAAGTAGCTCTCCCTCCACAAACCCCAAGGATTCTGTAGTGCCCAGCACTTCCCCCATAAGCCCAGCTCCTCTCCACCTGGGCTTCTCCCCAGACCCAGGCCATCTTCCGTGACAACTGTCATCACCAATCTGTAATGTGTGCCTGGTAACAACCTGCAACAATTATGAGCTAGTAGTTATACATAAATGCCTTACCACGTTCTTCTTTGCCATCGGTGGCTTTTAGATGCTTCCATTTGTATGAATCAGATCATTAATTTGGCAACAATGAGGAGCCAGGAAATTCAGCTTTGCAGTCTGCGTCCCACACTGAGCTAGTGAATGAATGCCCCGGTCAGATCAAGGAGACTTCGGTACACATCAACCCTGAGGCACAAGTGTGTCAATGGGACACCAGACCCTGAAACAAAGCATGCATTTAAGAAGGGAAAGGAAGAAGGAAGTAGGAGCAACATCTACTCCAGTGTGTACCAGGCTTCCCAAGCAGATAGCAGGTATTACAGGTGACTAAGGTGAGCCTCACAGGTTAAGTGGATTGAAGGTGGGTGTCCATCTAATAAAAGTCAAGTCTGCAGTTTGATTCCAAACATCCCACTCCCAAAAGCTGTTTCCTTGCCGATGACACTCAGTGCAGACGTCAAAAGTGGAACTCTGGGAGCCCTTGCCAGGGACCTGCTCTCTCCGCTCACACCCGTTCTGAGAATGTTTTCCGTAAGCTCCAGACTCAAGGGAACAGGTAGGATCTGAGGATATCATTGAGGCTGGATGAATTTTTACCTTTCCCTGAACTTGATTGCAATTCAGTCAGATCTGGACAGAAGCTTTTGAACTCCTGCATCTTCTCTTCCCAGAGAGAAGCTTCTCCCCACATAGACTGTGTTATTGTTGTTTCTCTCTCTTTAAAAAAAAAACATTCTTCTTTTATCAGAAGTTGTTTGTGGAACATAGTAATGACATCCATCCTGAGGATTTGGCACATGTGCCTGTCGTATCTTACTCCTGTGTATGTGCCCCATGCCTCCTAGGAGAAGTTTCATCTCCCTCATTTAGGCTGTTGGAATAAAGCAACCAAAGCCACGGAGCTTAAACTCCACTTATTTCTCCAGGCTGTGGAGTCTGGGAAGTCCAGGGAAGCAGATTTAGGGTCTGAAGAGGACCCTTGTCCTGGGTTTCCTGCAGCTGTGTTCTTGTACTGTCGCATGAGGGAGAGAGGGAAGAAGAGAGCTCTTGTCTCCTCTTAATCCCATTCACAAAGACTCCACCTTCTTCCTCCATTTTCAGATACTGCCACTTGGGAATTAAGATTTTGACCACTGAATTCTGAGGGAAGCGCAAATGAATGTCTAGATGGAATGGAGACTCCAGGCTTTAGGGTTAGAAGACCCTGGTTCAGTTCCCTGTTCAGCTGTGTACTTGCTGTATGATCACTGCCCAGCCACTCATGTGAGGAATCCCTGTTTTCTAACCTGTGAAGTAGAAAAGAAAGCTTACTGCAAAGACAGCTAAGTCCTTGTAAGCTACCATTCCATGTACACTGTGTCGTACTGTGCAGGTGCTTCTGCAGGGATAGATGGCCTCAGCAACTGCACAACTTTTAAGGACTAAGACTAGAATTCTAAGTTGTGTGGCAAGCTTTCCATGCCAAGGTTCAGGGCCACACCAGAAGGCAGATTCTTTCACAGTTTCCCAGATCTAAGAAGCCACACTGTGCAACGCGTCTGAGCAGGATGAGTTTGAGGAAGGACCTCCAAAAGAAGGAGCCTGGTTCCTGAGGCTCTGCCTTCCCAAATGCCCTGTGTCCTGCCTAGACCTCACAGACCCTTGTCTGGACCATGCCTGCAGGAACTCCCAAGAAACTGCCCAGCCCTTCCTCACCCACCTTCTATCTGGGCTCTCCCATCTGCATGCAGACAGAGGGAAGGTGGAGTACATTCACCACTTTTCTCTTTAATTTATTCTTTAATTAAGTCACAGTATTTCCTAACTCGATGGGTTGAATTGTGTCTATCAAGGAGATAAGCTCAAGCTTTTCCTCACCTTGGTACCTCTAGATGGGACCTTATTTGGAAAGAGGATCTTTCAGATGAAAGCAGTTCACAATAAGGAAAACCAGCCAGGCATGGTGGTGCATGCCTGTGATGTCAGCACTTGGGGACACTCAGGCATGATGAGCCCAGCCCTGGCAACTTAATGAGTCCTTGTCTCAAAATTTAAAAATACACATTTGTTTATTTATTTATTTATTCATTTATTTTTTTTCTGGTACCAGGAATCAAACTCACAACCTCACGCTTGCTAGGCAGGCGCTGTGCCACTGAGCTAAATCCCCT